CTATGAGTCAATTTCACTTCCATGTGCTCCTAACTAGAAGGAACTGATCTTATAATAGCCTAAACTTGATATTCATTAGACAATATGTATCTAGCTTCTTTAAGTTCCCGTATCATGTTAGCCATCTCACGCAGATGTTTTTTTCATAAGAGTATTGGGTTTCAACTTAAAGGTGTCAAACTTTATTGTCATCCTTCTTAGTTTAGTAGTAGAAGTACCTCCAAACTTATCCTTCAATGCAATCCACATTGCCTGAGCAGTGGCATGCTATGCTATGTTGGTTTTCTTTTTTCAGGCCATGTAAGCCTTATGATCCCTCTTATGTTAGCAATATTCTCAACTCTAGGTTCCTCCATTATCATAGTTAATGGCTCAATCTTATATTGTTCCTCTCATACGTATAAGACCTTTTGGTGTCAAATATCCCAATTGTCTCCATTTAGCTTATCCCCTTCATTCAATTTAGCAATTATGTTCTTAGTAACTATTCTCAATTCAGTCACAAAACTATTCCACATGAATAGTTTTTTCTATTATTGAATAGAACTAAAGAACATTTCATCAATAAGGCATAGGAAAGCATATAATGTCATGTATTTGTATCTATCATTCTTAACTAGAATAAAAATGACACCATAAAGTCCACAATTAGCAAACTATGTTTGCACCTCCCATCATATGGATTATAGTAATGCCACTAACATCTATCAAAAATTTTATACAAGTACTTCAAAATAGATTTTCATCTACAACTCTAAAAAAACTCATCTTTTAAAAGCTCCCACTCAAATGAAGCATACAATATTTATATTAAAGCATTTAACAAAATAATATCTAAAACATGCTTCATAATACTCAAAACAAACATTTAGTCTTTGTACATATTTGAAACACAATATAGAAAAGTACAAAACAATTATATGAGTGGGTACTTTCATGTATTGTTATCACTTACCATTTTATTATTTTTTTTTTTCATGATAAAAGTTTATTTCCTTAAATCTCATAAGGAGTTCTGGTTTCATCATTTAGGTGAGTTGACTCTTGTTATTAACTTCTTTAAAGTCTAGATAGGACTTTTATAATGCTTTACCCTTCCAAATATGGTAAGACCATAGGTTCTTTTTTAACCATTTTCTAGTTTAGGAATCGAGAAAACTATAAATGCCCATAGCCTTACTCCAATATTCTTCAACACATTTGAATACTTGGATTTTAACTTCAACTCACAAATGTAGAGTTATCTCTTTGTCTCTCTAATTGTTCAGAATTAATTGGGTCCCAAAAAGTTATTAGAGAGTGTATTCAATATAGCATTTTCCTAAACTCTTTTAGCAAAGAAAAATTATTCCTCATTTTACTAAGCTTATTTAAAGTATCAATACTTCACCTAAGAAGTGATTTAGAGGAACTAACTCGTGCTATATTATTATGTGTTTTTTTATGGTTGTTCACGTATCCTCTCTCCCTTTTTCACACGAGAAAAATTCCTCAAGATTAATTGTAAAACTTTTATATTTATTGTACCTTTGCCATTATCGTCTCATTAGGAATAATATCTCTATTATTAAAATTTTGACTCATGTTTGGTTTGGATTAACAATTGTTTTAATTTGCATTAACATTTGGATCACTTTTTTCATCCTCACCAAGTGGTACTTATTTTTTCATAGGTTTCATTTTAAAATCCTCGCTCAAAGGATCATATTTTAGAATAAATGTTTATTTGAAATACCTCTTAGAAAGACATTCTCCAATATTTTAGTACTTTTGGTGGACTCACAATACATATTTATCCATATGATAAATAATTTTAATAATTATATTTATTTTCATAATTTTTAAATATTTAAAATTCACTTTCATGAGCACTTAAAGCCTCTTAAAATGATTCAAATATTCTTAAAAAAATAAGAAAATTACATATCAAAATACATATCTCGACTTTAGGGATTTTTAGAAATGAATCACGTCTCAATTAGATGCTTCACACACTCACACGAGCCCCTAAATGAGTCCAAATCAAAAATTCTAAAAACATAGAAAAATTTCATAAAATCCCACACTCACTAATAGAGTATAGGCCACACCTCCATTGGACTCCACACACTGAGACCTATTAGGTAATGTGATCCGTTTGTCCATTGGGTCCTCTTGTAGGCTGCACTCACCACTTGGCATTTTACACACTCGCACGTGTACACACTCGCGCGCGCACACACACATATTAATTTTAAATAAAATATTATTACTTTATTAAAAGGTTGATCGATTTGTTGTCCCGATTTCACCAGATCTATCAACCTAATTCCAAAACTAGTTTCGTCGTTTTTTTTTTTTGCCAAAAATTTTTTTTTAGTATATAGGCCAAACACTTTAAGAGGCCCAATGAATTTTTTTAACATTGGGCCCAAGAATCAAGCAGGCCTAGAACTTGGAACATCTCTTTTTTTTTTGGACGATCAAAACAATGTCATTTGGATCATCTTAAACTTCCAGCCGAGTTGAGTGATGGGTCAAATACTAACCCAAATACTTTGGGAGCCATATATCGTCTATCTAATCTCCGTTTCATGCATTCTTGGTGTTATTTTCTTTATTTTTTTAGCTCTACCCAATGGTGCCAACCGTTTTCAAAAAAAAACCTATTTTCCATTTTTCAGTTTTCATTTACATTTGGCAGTTTGGGAAGCTTTTCTCAAGCATAGGTTGTATGAATAACATATACAACCTCCTATAACATATATATAACTCCAAAAAAGCATGATTCATTCGAACTTTACCTTTTATTCACAGCAAGTGTCACCCCTAAAAAAGAGGAGAGAAGAGAGAGCAATTTTGCTTTTTGTAGTAGAGAAAAAAATGATTCATTTTGATGCATTGCCCCAGGCCTATATCACTCCCACTCATGGAAGTGTTTGGACATGTAGTAACTATTCCCTCCCATAGCTCAAAAGAATAAAGGGAATATTATACTCAAGTGCCTAGCTTTAGTGCACTAAAAGACTCAAACTTCTCCTTATTCTTATAAATCCCCATGGGCTTGTATTGGGCCTAACCTACTAAGAGTGGATAACCCAATAAGGCTGCATTTTGAAGAATCTTAATTCTTTAAACTTGATAACTAGTAATGCATTTTCAATATTATTTTTTTAATTAATTATTTTCATATTTCATTTGGATAAGGTACGTAGTGTTTGACATGATAGATTTGAATTTAAAATTTATCTTTAAAATCTTGTATTTAAAATATTATATTTAAAATTTATATATTTAAAATCTTTTGTTTGGATAACAGTATGAAGAAATTTTTAAAATAAAAAAGGGAGATGTGTTTCGAAGCAAATTAAAAAAAAAAGATTAATGAGGTTAATGAATTTACTTCTATTTTTTGATTGGTGAGAGACAAAAATAATAAATGAGAGAAGACATGAGAATTACAAACGCAATGATGGTAAAAACATGAAGAAATGAGGGCATTGAAGCACCTGAAATTTCAAACAACTAGATGTATGAAGGAAATTTAAAATTACAAAAGATTTATTATAAGATATGGATTTGGATTTACAAATCCATATACTTCTATATAACCAAATGAGGGTTAGACTTCTATATATTTAAATGAGACACTTGATTCAAATAAAAATCTAAATTCTCGTTAATTCAAACACATTATTTTTGAGATTAAATTACTCCACTGTTGTTACCACAAATATAGGAGGAAAAAGTTGGCAGAATATAACGGCAGAATATAGGAGGAACCTAACAAAATATATATGATTTAAAATAAGAGAAATGAAATGGGAACTTGTAAAACGCCTATAATACTAAAATAATGATCAAGAAACATTGACAGAATATAATATACCTTATACAACTGAGAATCTTGCTTCCACGTGCACTCAGCTTATATAATTCAACGCATTTGACGTGCGTCAAGTATGCAGGAATAATCCAATTTTTTTTTAAAAAAAACTCTTTTAGTAGAGATATCATCACTCAAGAAATCCCAGTCCATTCGAACCACCCAGAAAGCTATCCGCTTTAAGCTGGGGAAAAAATCGCAATAATTCAAATAAATTAACAGTGAGATAATGCATTCTACTTGTATGATAAAATGATGGAACTGTGCAATATTTGCAAAAAAATATTAAATTAAAATTGAGATGTAAAACATTCTCAGCATCAATACTTTAAGAAAACAAAAATAAACATGTCTACTCTAAGAAAATAAAAAATAAACATAAATAAGACTAAATACAAAACTCTTCTAAATTTTGAGATAGTTGTACAAAACCTCACTCACCTTTAAAAGTTTAAATTAATCTTCCTAACTTTTTAGTTTTTAACTATAGATTCCCTTGCTGTTATTTTTTAATTAGTTATCTATTTTACCAATAGAAGTTGCTCAGCTGTTGTATGCTAACAATAACAAAAAGATATAAATAAAATTTTTATGAAGCCATAATTAGCTTGCATTGTATTTCACTTAAGCTGCTATGTGTCTTTTTTTAAAAATGACATAGCAACTTATGTTAATAAAATAGCTAAAAAAGTAATAATAGGAGAGTCTGTGATTAAAAAAAAAATAGTTAAAGAGGGTTGTGGTTGAGATGAAAAATAATCTTCATATCAATACTTAAGAAAACAAAAATAAACATGTATACTCTGAAAAATTAAATGATATTGAAAAATAATAATTGTTATATAACAATTATTCTCATTTCTAGTAATTATTATATAGCAATTTAATTTTATCTAGTCACTCTCATTTTTACCTCAATCAAACGGGGATCTTAATTAGTCCCATCACGAGCTCAATGTATTAATTTTGTGCCGTTGTGTTTAACTGTATAAACGAAAAGCAGTTAAAGCCGTTGCTTGTGTGTGTGTGTGTGTGTGTGTGTGTGTGTTCTTGGGCTCTCTCTCCCCACAACACACATAACATGCAAATCTATATAAGTGTGATCTCAAGAAACTATTTGTGTTTTGCTTTGTGACTGTGAACTGAAGGGAAAGATTAGTGCTCAAGAGAAGAGGCCAAAGTTCAGAGGTACATACGAACTAGATCTTTAATTAATGTATGTGTTTTCTTCTTTCAGATATATATTTCAGAGCTTGAATTATATATCCTCAAAGCCAAACATGCATGGCTGGTCGATCAAATCAAGAATCTCTGTTAACGTTATTATTATTCCAAACTGAGAAAAGAAATTGACTGATGCAATATAAATGTTTGGATACAAAGAAAGTTTCGCTCTACATATAATTTTTGATATTGTCTTCAAATTAATGATCTTGCTGTTATTATTCAAAAGTGGAGATAGAAAGTGATAGAAAGTCGAAGAGACACATGTTTGGATGCCAAGAAAAAGTTTTTCTGTTATTAATCTCTTGAATTATTTTTCCATGTTGAAAGCCAAACAATTGTTCAAAAATCAAGACTCTTCCTGTTATTATTTCCCATGAGGTTTATTTTTCCATCTGAAGATAGAAAGTTATTGAGGCAATGACGTTTGGATGCCAAGAAAGTGTGTTTTTCTTTAATTGAAATTAATTTCTCGATCTTCTTAAAAGGAAAGAAGGGAATTACACAAGATTGTGATCAATGAATCCTTCATAATTTTTCGTAGTTTTCTATTGTAATTTATGATCCAGAAATTCATCATGTAATAAATGTGTTATATTTTTCATTTTTTTGTAATTTTCCCTCTGTACTCTTGTTTAATAATGTTTAGATCCGTACAATCATAAAAAAAATAGTTCTCGTGCAATCTGACAAATGTTATTTATTTATTTATTTATTGGCCAAATATTATATGATTTTATTATGCAGCTGCAAGGTGAAGCTATGGAAGGTGATGATCCAAACAGTACAACGTCTTCAGGTTTTAATATTTTGTTTAATTTCACTTCAATGATTTTTTTCTGTTTTTTTATTTCTGATATAATTCAATTAATTGAAAACAAGGTATTTTGTACATATAAGATGTTTATTGTGTTATTATTTTAATTCTTAAACTACCAAACCGTTGCCTATTTTCATCTTGAAATAATTAATTAATTAGATGTGAACATTTTAAATTCTTAAAAAAACGACATTCACCAAAACATATATAACACACAAAAACAAAATAGATGTACAAATTATTTTGATAGTTTAACTTTCGTCATACACCTTCTTCACTGGGAGAGAAAAAGAACGATGATTTTATGTTCTTACATAATTAATTAATTTAAAAATTATTTGTTTTTATGTGAAGCTGCAAGTAATGCCATGGGTGATGATATCTCAAACAATACTACACCATCTTCAGGTACGTATCAAACAAAAATGCATATTATATGGGAATTATCTTTTGCCTTAATTTATTGAAAATTAATTTTAGGACAGCAAATAAATATCAAAATTATTAGAAAAAATATTTTATGATAATTCACAAACTTTGTACCGCTATATCTGACAATTGAGGTTACGTTCCACTATTCTTTTTCTTGTGATCTTGGGTTAGCCCTTGAGGAAAAATATAATATAATTATTTATTAATATTAATACTTACTCCCTCCGGTCCTATTTATAAGTCATTTCTACCAACCTCATCAATACCAATACAATAAAAGTACAAGGAATAAAAGTAAGTAAAATTTCAAACATGCCCCTATATAACAAATCTAAAAAGTAATGTTCTGTTACTTTTTCTCTCTCATGAAGGGTAATTTTGGAAATACCTCTCAAATATTACCTAAAAAGACGCACCGTGACTTATAAATGGGACCAAATACACCTTCTAGAATTGGACTTATAAATGGGACCGGAGGGAGTAGTTAGTTGTTATCTATTTTTTTGGTTGCCATGGACATCATTATTGTTCGTTTTTGTTTTACCATATTTATCTTTAATTTCTAGAACAAACATAATTTTTATTGAATTAAGTGGTCTCTTTCTGTTTTAAATTTGATTGAGATTATTTATAAATTACACGAATTTTATGTGAGCTAGATTTGTCAAAATTACACCGCTGTCATTCTATTCTTTAGAAAAATTGTGTGTGAGTGTGTGGTATAGAACCTTTTTATCATGTTTAAAAAGAACATATACACTAATTTTATTATATCTATCTATAAAAAATTTGTATATATATTATAAACTATATGTACATGTTATTTGCAATTTTGCACAGTTTAACTTTAGCATGCACCTTCTCCACTAGGAAAAAAAGAACGAAGAATTTATGCTTTTTTTAGAAATATATATATTCCTTTTATTTACCAAAAGATCTTTGCTTATTACACAATTAGATATATGTCCCAAACAATACTTCGTCTTCTGGTTTTAATTAATATTCTCTGCATTTCACTTCAATGATTTTTTCTGTTTTCTTTTTTTAATTTCTTTTTTTGATAATATTCTATTTAGTTGAAAACAAAGTATTTTGCACATACAAGTTATTTATTGTTTTTATCATTTTAATTATTAAATAAACCATTGCATATTTTCATCTTGAAATAATTAAGATATGGACATTTTAAAATCTTCAAATAACATTAACCAAAACACACCACAAAAACATAATAGAACTACAATTGATGAATTTATATGTTCTTACAGAATTAATTAATTTAAAAATTATTTGTTTTTATGTAAAGCTGCAAGTAATGCCATGAGTGATGACAATACACCATCTCCAGGTTCGTATAAAAAAATTCTTTAATTTATTGCAAGCTAATTTTAGGAGTTTCAATTAATTTTATTGAAAATTCTATATTCAAAGCCTCAAAATTATTTTGGACAGAAAAAATCTCAAAACCTCTGTATCTTAATTTCAAGAACAAAGATACCTTTTTGAATATCGAATTAAGAGATTCCTTTAAGTTTTAAATTTCATTGAGATTATTTATAAATTATATTACATGAATTTTTTATGTCATTTTTCAAAAATATACCACTGTCATCTTCCCTTGTAAGAAAATTATATATATATATATATATATAATGCAAAAACTGTGTCAATTTTAAGAATAAAAGAAACATTAATATAATTAGTGTATATATATATATATATCTATAAAAATTTAGGAGACCACAATGTTTAGTAAAATTCATTTTTTAAAAAATATGCAGATGATGGTAAAACCATGGAAGGTGATACTTCAAAGAGTACTTCATCTACAGGTATATATCAAACAAAAATTAATTTTTTTAATTTAATTAATTGGATATATATATATATATATATTCTTTTTTTTATTCTATCGTTCGATATTTTAGAAAACTTAGGATAATTTAATTCAATTCCATCAGTTTTATATATATATATATATATATGTATATCCTATTTATATTCCTATGAGTTTCAGTCTTGTCCTATTCTTTTAAGCATTTTGATTTGAATGAATTACTTTGAGCAAAATATTCATGGATAGCTTAACTAGTAATGGTTTTCCCACACAAGTTATTGACTGAGAAGAAGACTAAGAACATAGTTAGTTATTTAATTTCAAAATAAACAAAAAATATATATGTAATTTAACAAAACTAATTTTAAAACAATGTTTTCTTTTTATATGCAGCGGAAAGTAAAGCCATGAAAGGTGATACCTCAAACAATAATATTCCATCTCCAGGTACGTATTAAACACTAATGCATATTAATTTGTTGAGAATTAATTTTGGGAGTTTCTAATGCTAACAGTTTAAAAATAAAAGGAACAATAATATTGTTAATATATTTATAAAAACTACAGGAGCCATAATGTTTGATAAAATTAATTTGATATTCCTTATGTTGTTTTACTTAATGTATATGTGCAGATGCTAATAATAAAACCACTGAAGGTGATACGTCACAGAGAGCATCGCCTACAGGTACACATCAAACAAAAATTCACATACATACATACATATATCATGCTCTAACATTTTTTACAATCATGAGTAATTTAATTGGATCTTGATTCTATATATTTATATATTATTATGATCATTAAAAAAGGAAAAATAATGCATACATGAAGATTTGCTTTTGTTGACATTTATGAGTCATTAATTTAATTCGGAAAAGTTTTGTTTAGTAAACTAATTATTTCTTGTTAATGTGCAGCTGTTGGCAAAACCATGGTAGATGATGCATTTTCTGAAGGTACATATCCTATGCTTACTATTAAGTAATCAATACCTAGTTAATTATTATTTTCATTTATTTGCCAACATTAATTGTAAAAACTAATTTGTATCAATTATAGAACCCAAAGAAACATTAACATTATTAGATAATAGGGATAATGCAACTTTTAGTCATATTTATGTTTGGGGGTGTTATTGCTTTAGTCCCTCAAGTTTAATTAATTTCTATTATTTCAGTTCTTAAAAACAAAATGGAAGAAGTGGAAAAGATGGGAGGGCAGATAACGTCACTAGAGAATGATGCTATGGCAACTGATGACAACACATCAAGGCAAATGGTGAATGACTTGAAAAGAAAATATGAGAATCTGGTGATATTTCACAGAGTGCTTCATCTCCAGGTACATATAAAACACACACACGAATCATGTTCTACCTTTATTGACAAGGATGAGTAAATTATTGGATCTATATTCTATTCATATCCTTATGCTTGTCCTATTATATAAGTTTGTCTTTCTATATACATACAGGAAGTTTTGCCTTTATGGGCATTTATGAGTGGTTAATTTATTTGGGAAAATTTTTCTTTAATAAAATAGTAAAATTATTGTGTCGATTTGCAGCAGTTGGTAAAACCCTATTGGAAGGCGATACTTCAAAGAGTATATCATCTGAAGGTACACACACACACACATCCTAATCCAGTGTTTATTAATGACCCTTTATTTAATTACTCCCTCTGGTCCTATAAATATATATATATATATATATATATAAACTCTTTTTTCCCAGCTAATCTTGGTCCAAAACTATAAGCAACTTAGTTGTACAAATTTTTTTCTATTTTACCCATTATATTTATTAACTTGGATTGTTGTGTGAATTTATAACAATATAATTAATTAAGGGTAAAAAGGAAAAAAAAACTATATATCTTCATGAGAATAAATATTTTATTGGTATAAAAATAATTGTTGAAATTAAAGCTTAATTAATTATATTGTTGAAAGCCTTTATTTTATGGACAATTATGAATGATTAATTAATTCAATTTGTTATTGTTGTCATACAGAAAATTCAGCAAAGGCTTCAGAATCGGAAGCGTCGTTCCTGAACGATCAAGAAGCAAATACTGTGGATATTGAAGAAAGTATGATGAAAATTAAAGAAACGAGAGGGAAGATAAGGTCATGCCAAATGGCGAATGACTTAAACTCAAAATATGAGAGTATGAGGGAGGAAACCAAAATTATCATGGCTCAGCTTCGTAGCCGCTTGTCAAAAAAGTAATGACTCTGATGCGTCCAAAATATATAGTATTGTGATGAAATGAATATTGGAACTAATGAATCGTGTTTTTGTTTTTGTTTTGTGGAGTTGCATGTTTCGTATGTGGCAATTTGAAATTCTGTTTCATCCATTCCGGAATCTAAGTTCCATCATTTGTGGAATCTGTACATTTCATATGGATGATTGGAGTCATGAGACGTACGGAATTGTATTCTCTATTTTTTTTTGGGTTAAAAAGCTAATTTATTCCTAAACTTTTTTTTTTCCCAAAAGCACTAATTATCTTGAAGTTAAGGGTGAGGCAATATTACCTTTAACTACTAGGTGTCCAGCGCTTTTGAAAAAGATGTTCAGAAACATGTTAGTATTTTAATACGTTCTTTATGAGAAAATATTTAACTGAATTGGGTTTTGAAAGTTCACAAAGGCTAGAGCATACCTCCAAATTTAGAGAAAACTTATAGAGGTATTTATAAATCATCCACTAACAAAGTTTTTACATCGGTAGTATGATTTGATCCCACTATCTTATAGGTTAATTAGTTATGAGGCAAAACCTTATCAACCAAAACCTTTGGTAGCGCCTACAAAATTATATTCTAGAAATATGCCTTTATGGATGGAATTATATTCCATAATCGTGAGATGCAATTCTACGAATTTATGCGCATATATGAATTTCTCCTAATATGAACCATATACATATTGTCAATATCAGCGTAAAGATGTAATTAAGATTTTCTTATGGCAAGCAATTTTGAAGAAGTTGCGTACGTACAAAGCAATTTTGATGTTTGAAGAATATGTACAAATACAAACTATTTATATCAAATAAAATGAAAGAAGAGATCAATAAATAAATATGTGTGATAAAGCTCATGTGTAATCCCAAAAAAAAAAAAAGCAGTGGGAAGTTCTCATATACTATTTGTTATTGTTGTATTTTTAATTAGTTTCTGTTGAATGTTTTGTTGAAACCTAATTTAATTATTTTTTTCTCTTACTATGCTAAAACTGCGGTTTTCGTTCGGTTTCTTATGGTTTCAATCCTAGCTAGGGAATCCACCCAGTTCTATTGAATAACAGGAAACAAAACCAAGCTTATATATACTATAAAAAATTTGGGCTTTTGCTCAATTATAAAATTGCTTATGTCTATTGCATTATGTTATTAAAAAAAAAAAATCTGATGTCTAAACTTTAGTTTGTCAATAATTTATCACATTTCGAAGCTTCTAAATACCTAGGTAAGCTTCCATTATATATAATGTGATTTATACCTTTAAATATTTGATTTTGACGGGTTCTGAGAAGGAAAATGATGATTGAATGGTGGATCTTGAAATTGAGAAATTTCTACCAATTAGAATCAGTTTAAATGACTTATTTTAAAGTTACTTTGATATTTAGTTAGAGGAAATAAGGAGAAAATCAGGGAGATTGGTGTTAAATCATGCATAAATACCATGTTATATGCATGTTTTGAAAGTGTGATTTATGATCATTTACAGTGGCTTTTAATAATCCTGCTTGACTAACTCATAGACCATAACTTACATGCGTGTTTGTGAATTAGGCCTTTTGTCACTGGGACATTATGCTCTGTTGGCCCGAAAAAAAAAAAAAAAGAACTAGGGCCTTATGTCTCACTGAAAAATTTTAGTTTTAGGTAAAAATTTGTCCCTTACCCAACCCAGCACGTCACACTCCTAGCTATCATCCACCACTCATACCAGTGTGTAGTTTGCACTTCATCCTATCAGGTGATCTAACTCTCTTATAAAACTAGAAAGGAAGGAGCCTCGGTAACCTTACTTACTTGATTTCTCCTTGTTATTTGTAGCTACCACTAACGCCTGCCCCATGTTTAGTGCAATGGTAAGTGATTCCTTTGATGGCTTTCTTTGACTATGTCTTAGGATTTGAAAATGCACTTCTGTTTGATAGGAATCTCTCGACGTTCCATCCAATTCGGCAAGGCCCATGGATTTCTCTAGCCTTCACTTTGACTTTGAAGCTAAGGCCTTAGAACCCCCATATTTCTTGTTAACCTTTAGAATTTTATGTCATTTAAACATTCTACTTAGATTTTAATATTTATTGGCACAATTGTACATATTTTGAGTACCTAAATTAAAAAAATATGTATCTTGCTTTAAGTTTGCACACTTGACTTTAATTTGATATTTTTGGTTTTAATCAATGTTATTATTGCTTAGAATTTGGTTGGAAGCATTTTTGGACCCTTATTCATGCTTTTGGAAGGTTTCATGATGAAGAAATCAACAAAGGTGATTAATCACGCTAAATGAGAGAAGTGTGCAAAACAGAGCAAATTCATTACCAAAGCTGCGACTTCAATTTATTTGTGACTTTTTTTGCTGACATCAAAACATTGCATTTTGCTTAGTTGAAAAAGCTTGGCTAGGTTACATATATGTGGCTTGCTCAACCTAGAATGCATTCTTCAGACTTTGAGATGCATTTGGAGCTTGATTGTGCTGAGATTTGGGCATTGAAAAAGTTTGGACTAAGAGATTGAAGTTTTGAAGATATTTGAAGCTTATTTTCTTTTGTTTTTATGTTCCTCTTCACTTTCCTCTCTTAGAATTTGATTTGGATCTGAGTATTTTGTGTATTTGTGGTTTGTGTGTGATTATGAGTAGCTAAGTACTTTATTTTAATGTTATTTAGAACACTTGTATGGATCACTATTACAAAAAACACAATTTACATCCCTCAATTTATGTCACTTTTTAATAAAGTGACATAAAAAAAAAAGACGGTGATAATTCTGTAAATAAGTGCTCAATAGTTAGAAACATTCACATTACTTTTAATAAAAAGTAACATAAAAAATAATACTTACGTCATTTATTAAATTTAGGAATTGATATTTAAAAATAAATTATGTAAATTTACGTCTCTTATTGTTAAAAATAGACATAGAAATTAATCCACGTCTCTTTTTAATAAAAAGAGACGTGAATTTAATAGTATAATAAATTAAGAATTATAATTTATATTTAAATAATCAATGTTCTTTTTATTAAAAAATAGATGTGGATTACATGACTGAAATCTAAAAATTTATAATATAAAAAATTTATGTCTATTTTCATGAAAAAAGGACATGAATTTTATACTAAAAAATTTTAATATAATTTTAAGCTCATCCACATCCTTTTTTTTGACTAAATGGGATGTGGATTTGAGTGATTAATTTAAAAATATAAATTTAAAAATTAAAATTATATATATCATTTTTATATAAAAAAAGACGTGAAATTTATTTTTAAAAATTTTAATAATTAAAAGCTAATCCACGTCGTTTTTTAATGTAAAAAGGGACGTGGATTTGAGTTTAAAAAATAATAATCAAATTGACAATTAAAAAAATATTATTATTAGAATAATAATTTTAGAATAAAAAATTAGTATAATAAAAAAGAGAAAAGGTCAATGGGGGAGTTAAAAAGGAGAATATTCTTTTTATAGGGAAGATAAATATTTAGACTGAATATTTAAACTTATAGATGTCACTTTTTTGATAAAATGGGATGTGAATTTGAATGATTAAATTGAGAATATCAATTGTAATATCTACGTCGTTTTCCTATAAAAAAAGATGTAGATTTTATTTTTAAAAATTTTATTAATTAAATTGATATTTTCTGAAGTCATTTTTTATTAAAAGTGATGTGATATTATTAATTTACTTTTTTTTTTTGCAAAATCACGTAATATCCACTTCACTTTTTCAAAAAAAAAAGGATGAGGATAATCTAGTAGAAATTTTAGCTCCAACTTAAAATTTTAATTTTTTTTAAAAAAATTTCATAATATTCACGTCTCTTTTCTAGAAAAAGAGACATGGATAATCTAGTGAAAATTATAGCTCTAACTCAAAAGTTTAATTTCTTTTAATTTTATTTTTTAAAAAATCTCATAATATCCACATCTCTTTTTAAGAAAAAGAGATATGGATAAGCATGTCTATGTCAGGCCCCCGAGAAATAATTTCATGTTTTTAAAATTTGGTAATATCCACATCTCTTTTTCTGAAAAAGAGATGTGAAAGAGAATTTAAATTGCCTCCTTTCTTTTTTGTTATGTCTTTTCGCCCGCAAATCTCAAAGTCTGAAAACCTCCAGCTAAAAAATAGAAGCTTCTAGCTCTCAAATCAGCAACAATCCATAACTCATCTTTCTCATCTCATGAAACCCCAACTCCTCCTTTAGCTCGTCTCCTTCCTCATCTCATGAAACCTATAGCTTATCTCCCTTAAAGTTTGGCACCTATAGCTCATCTCTTAAAGCTCAGCTCCTTATCATGACCGATAGCTCGTCTTTACCCAAAGCTTGTGACACCTATAACTCAGATCCCTTTGGCCCTCAGCTCACCTCAACTAGCATTATCCGTTGGTGACCCTCAGCTCCTTCGCCTTGCTCATCGTCGCCTCTTCCACTTAGGTAATTTTTTTAAAAAAATAATTTTTGCTTATCCCATTATTTTTTTTAATGCCCAGGATTTTTTTTTAGCTCCATCCCATAATTTTTATTGTATTGCTTATCCCATTAAATTTTTTTACTGATATCCCCTCTATTCAAAATTAATTTTTTGCATTGCTAGACAATAATTTTTATTATATTGAATTTAAATTTATTGGAATTTTTTTTTTTACTGTTGTCTCCCCTTTTCATATCTTTTCTTATTCATAGCTTCTCCCAATGCATTACTAGCCTTTGTTTATACTTTAGTTTGATATTTAATAATTTTTGCTGCTTAAAATACTTGATTTGATAATGTTATAATTTTAGAGGTCCCATTTTTGTAAAGAAAACTCTGCCAATTTTTTAAAAAACCTTAATATGTTTGTGTAGTACCAGTGGTGATACAATTTTGATAATTTTGGGTCTATGTTGGTTTTGATTGGTGCCCCAAATTTTATTTTTCTATCATTTCTTTGATTTTTTTTGAATAATTGTTTGTGCTTTTAAAGCTTGATATTCTTTGCTAATTTGTGTTGAAATTATCACAAAATTAAGGTACATATCTGCGTAACTTTAAAAAATT